CCTAAGTGTGGTATTTTATTTATTCATTTTGTATGTTGAAACATTTTGAAATAGAATTTTTATCATCGATTTGATTAATAATAAATTATAATAGCTATATAAAATGCCAAGTTTCAAGGAACATGATGAGTCAAGTATTTATTCGATTGGGAATCATCTTGGATGACTATACAGACTTCTAAACCGTGTTACTGCCGAGCTCTTCACGTATGTATAGTAAGTTTGGCGGTCGTCTTTCACGAATTTTTCAGTGACGCCTGTCTGCAGTTTTATAGCTAATAAAATAAATTACCAATATAGCTTTACTTCTCCATCCCTCGAAATAAAGAGTCGGAATCCTATATGTTTACTTGAATCTGCGTTTCTCTATCTTTTGAGAATTATTTTTATAATATATAAGTTTATAATTTATCATCACTAGATGCTTTTTTGATTCTCGTATTACATATTATAAGGTTATTTTCATATGCATCTGATCTTCAGTCATGGAATTGAATTACCGAATTCATAGAATTGTCCGATCAAAATGATAATAATACATAAGATCATGTTAAAACAGGTTATCGTGATTGTATATCAATCAGGAATTATTTCAAGTTTTTAACAAGGTTTCTTCTAAGATAGCATAAGCAGTTCAGTACTTTATTTTTTCAAAATTGTAAACAACTAAATAACCATATACTTAATAGCATAGCTTATTTGGATTGTGGAGAGGTTGGAGTCCTGCTATAATAAAATTGAATACGTTTTTAAAAAAATAAGGAAATGTTTTTTTTTTTTTTTGGGGGGGGGGGAGAGCTAAGTTTCCCCAGCTCATAATTTTTGTTGAAATTTGAATTTTAAAATAATGAGCAGATATGTCATCTGCTGCGAATACTGCATATGTACATGAAAGTAGATTTAATATTTTTATCTTATACACATACCATATAATTAAATAATTCCCGTCAAATGTTTCCCTCTAAAAGTTTGAACATTCTAATTTTCCTTAATATTTGAACTTCGTATAATTTTCCTAATATGAGTACTTAATAATAATAATTTTATTTATTACAATATATTTTTTTAATTTTGTGGTGTGTTTCCCCTATAAATGTTATGTGATAAACAATGCACAACGTTATACAATATGTATATTACATATATCTACATAAACATATTATTATAAAATTAATGTAGGTGCCTATTTGAATTCATACACATATAATTAAATGTTTCAAGTTTGAATAAAATACTTTTAGTTGAAACTTGAAACTTTAACGCTACAAAATGATAAATACCTAACGCTCAGTTAGTATTTCCAAAAGTTAAATAAATATATATATATATATATATTTATTATTATTCAAATACTTATGTTTACATTTTTGTTTTATTATAATTATTGTAAATATTTGTTATATTACACGCATAAATAGAATACAGATCAAAATTAACACCTAAATCAATCACAATCATTAAAATTCATAAACATTTTAATAAAAAAAAGTCAAAATAAATGTCTTGAAAATATATCAATCAATTATTTAAGTAATACTGCTTACATCATTTTATCATATTAAACTCAGGTATAATGTAGTGAAAATCAGAATTATTTTTCATATCGTTTAGACATTATTGAAAACTCTTATTCACTATAAGTATATACCAATATTACTATTTTAATTTGAAATTTAAAAAAAAAACGAGAAACGTACCCAATAATCTGCTTTTATATCCTCTCTGTCCGATATTTTTAAACTTTGATGAAGGTTCATACTCCCACGGTTTTTTCGATCTTGTATATAGTTATTAGTTAATAATAATAAATATAAAATGATCGGTCAGATTTTATTACTAATACAGATGTAAAAAAACAACATTGGTACACAAAGTTTGTTTATTTAATATCAAACCGTATTGAAGAGATAATATTATATATTATCACCATGATTTATATATTTTAAATTCTGATAAAAAAAAAAATATTCTTGTAATAAAACAAATTATCCATCAACAATAAATGTCTTTCCACTCAAAATACCACATTGTACAAAAGAAATATTTTGAAGTTTACATTAGATATTTGAACGTTTAATATTGGTACAATACAAACCTTCAGTAGTATCAAGTATACTTGATGTATGAGGTGATGTTGAAAACATCAATTTAATAATGTATTATCAAATCTCGAACATTTTGATACGATTGTAAGTCCAATTATTATTGTATAGGTACTTTTCCTCCACCAGAGTTTAAAGTAAAATCAATGTATATGAAAATTGATTAAACTACATATAATATATATTTAAATAATAGCATCTTTATAATATGTTAAACGTTAGTTGCAGTACAGCTAATGTTGTAAATACCTCATTATTTACAGTTTATTATTTTCTGTTATAAATAAGTACATCATATACTATAAGAGTGTGTTTACGTAATATGTGTTGTATTATTTAAATACCATAAATAAGCTACTTTTGTGAAATGTTTTTTTTTCTATTTTTTCTTTTTGCAAACATTCAATTGTAGGGAATACCTACATAGTTCATAAAAAATAATTCCTAACTAAAATTGGTAGCTCATAATGTTAAATAAGCAGGTATATTGTACAATGGATTTAAAAAAAAAAATTGTATTAAAATCGTAAAAGCAATTATTTTTTCTTATTTTTTATACATGAACTAATAATTTCGTACACGTTTTTTAGACGTTTTAAACTTAATTAAATAAGTTTCAAAAATGTGAACAAATTATCAAAAAAGGATTTTATTTACCAAGCTCCTTTAAACTTTAGCTAGGTAGCTGATCGCGAAAAACTTTATCTGGTGAAAGTAGAATTCTCAGGGTTGGTCCATTGTAGACAGTTTGTCTTAAATGTACCTAAAAACTTGACATAGCATAATTTTACTCGTTTATGGTTATCTCATTAATTTTCCACGGTTAATACACTCAAGTTTATCGATCTTCAGTCGGTTTTTGAGAATACATAATTTATTTTATGGTTTAAATTCGAAGATCTAAGACAATTTTCGTCTGACTTAAATATTTTACAATTTAATATGACATTTATTTAGTGTATATCACAAAATTAAAAAACAAATGTACAATAAATTACTGATAATTATATCCAATCATAACATACGCATAGCGTATAATAAAGTTACAATATTGATCAATTTTATGCTCAGTAAAAACCTAACCATTATGGCTCGTATACACATATATAAACTATTTGGCATACAAGTTCCTTATTAATAATATGTGTCGACCAGAAAATAATGAAATAGGTTTTCCGGTCTTATATGTGCCTTAAATAACAATACACGAGAAACGATTCTAATTTTCAGTACATTATATCTTAGTTGACGGTGACAACGTTATATTGATATTATATAGTTATAATACAGTTTTCAAAAGTTACTTTTAAAAATAAATTATTGCAATAGTAGTGTATATTTTTTCAAATTATAATTATTTATCATGGCTTTTAACTGTATACAGTAACAACAAAATTCTGGCTTTCGCCTAAATGGGTGAAACGAGATAATTGTCCAACACACTGTGTCTGTATCCTGTCCGTAGCTTTTGTTGAGATAATAAATTATAACATAATTCATTGGAAATATGGTATTCAGTGAAATAAGCTATTCAGTAGTCGCAAATACAAAAAATATTGTACGGGTATCGGCTCTCGGTAGTTGATTAAACGTGTAATATCGAAATTAAAAATATTTATTCAAATTTCGTAAAGTTAATTTGATTTCCATGTGGTGATTATTAACGATAGCTTACCCATGATATTATCTACTGGCAGTCATTTAAGGTTTGCCGAGTATGTATTATTATTTGCGAGTATGCCACTATAAATTTGTACATTGAAGCAGTGAATAATGAAAATATATTTTTTTATGTGAAAATCAAACAATATAATATATTGAGAGCAATATTTGTATGATGCTGATACGCCTTTATTTACGGAACACCTCCATTCTGCAGTCCTAATTGATCATAATGACGATATATGATATCATTTGGACGCTAATATTAACCATTCCGTTATATTATGCTAAAAATATTATGGTATATTTTATAGATGCTCCGATGTAGTAATAATATTCTTTGTAAAATATGTGTTTGTTTTTAATTTGTAAAGTCAATCGAGTGGGTAATGTTGATTTCACTTAAAACTGCTATCAATAAACAATAATAATATAATATTGTAGATAATTATACAGATAAACTATAGTATTTATAATGATAATTAAAAATGTACAATGATTTTATTGATTATAGACTATATGATATTGTTTTTTTTAATCTTTTTATAGGTAGTTGATTTATTGAGTGTTTTTATGAATATTATTATAAATAGTTGATATATTTACAGAAAATAATTAGTGATGAGTTAGAGTCTTCACATTCTTATTCTTTATTAACTGTCATGATCAGACATGACATACCTGACCAAGAAACATGTTCAATAACTTATATTGTTGAATACATATTTTGTTTTTTTAAATAACGATCATTAGAATAATGGTCGTAATTATATACTTAATATTGTTCCCTTTTAACTATCATGCAAAGCCGGACAACATTTAATAATATAACAATATTATTTCAACTATGAATTTGAGGTGTCGCAGTGGTTTCCTTAATACAAGGAAACATCTTCAATTAATATTCAGTGGTAATAAAATCCTTATGTACACTATATTATTATTACGGTCACGCAAAATAACAATATTAATTATTACGATGCTATTATTGTTTCTAATATTATTATGTGTGAGCGTTTTCGCTTATATTATATTCAAAAATCACTCTACTGTGTACCTAATATTATAATAATCGCCGCATTCGACCCATTGTCCGCGAAGGGACCCTGCAGAGGTAAGTAGTATAGTAAGTTGTAATTAGTTTACTTTGGGCGGTCATCGATTCGCGGGCGGTTAGTTATTGATATTATTATTATCATAATATTCTATACTATTATTATTGTTATTGTCTCTTACCCGTGACCACCAGCAGCATGGCACCGCCAACGATCAGCCGACCGATCGACGTTTTGGTGCACATGTTTATGATCATCGTCCGGTCCGCTGAACAGTGTTGGAAACGTGTCACCAAAGGTGTTCGGTAAATACCAATAGTTAGATATAGCTCGGTATATTATTATTACGTGACCACTGTCAGCTGTGTCTTGTGGCTAATCGCACAAGCACCTAACCACTGTGGTATAATATAATATGTATATATATAATATTATTATGCAGAAAATAGATCGTCAAACGGTCCGTCGGATCGACGCGATGTTGTCTCCGTACGGCCGACGCTGCGAGTCGTCGCCGATCATCCCGACGAAGGGTTGCGAAACGTCTACGTTTGTTTTATTTATTTGTTTGTTTGTTTTTTTTTTTTATCAAGACTCAAACACCCGGACACAGCGGTGGTTATCGGTCGGAAAGTTACACTCGACGGATTTAATCGCACGTGATTATATCGTAGCAGGTACTTATCCTACCTACGCAGACGACGACTGTGCCGCGCGATTGATTGGCCCGTGGGCGCACACTAAGAGATAAAAAAAAAAACAATAAATGAAATCCGAAACAGATGAATAAAAAAAAAATGCCGAAAAAACGTACTCGCTCACACAGGAACACACACTCTCACACACACGTACACCGAACCGGACCGTGCGCACCGGCTTACCACGACGGAGTCTGACACGCACACACGGTCGTCGGCGAAAAACGCGGCTGCCGCCCCCGTCACCGCGATCTCGCGCCCCCCGGTGGGTACGTTGGCGCGACGAACTTGCGCAGAAAATTAGACCGTGCTTCCGCGGTTTTTCGCCGTTTATCCTCGTCCGCTCTCTGCTGTGCTTCTCTCTCTCTCTCTCGCTCACTCTCTCTATTCCTTTCTCTCCTCCTCATTCTCTATCACCCTCTCTCTCTCTCTTTCACACCCACGTTCTCTCTTGCTCTCTTTTACTCTCTGTCTTTCTCTCCCTGTTTCTCTCTCACTCTTTTTCTATCCGTCTCTCTCACTATCTACTCCTTATTCTACTTTTCCTTGGTTTTTCTTTCACACTATTATTATTATTATTATTATTATTATTATTATTATACATCAGTCCATCTCTCTCTCTCAAACTCGTCCTTATTTCTTCAACTGTACCCGCGCACTTATTAATTTCGTTTCTTTCACTGCGTGCTTTTGTCTTTGTGTGTTTTTTCAGCTTAATTTTTTTCTTTACGATATCGAGTGTGTATGCGTACAAACACAGAGCAATTCGTCAAACATTTACATAACGCGGTTTATCGTTTAATCATTTACTTATTCAAACAATACGTTTCGGAATTTTTAGCCATATTCAATAAATACTTTGATTTTTAATGCCATAACGTGTATATTTTAACGATACAAGCTTTTACTTTTTAAGCGATTAGGACCTGAGTACATCGATTGAATTCGAACCAAAAGTTTTTGGGTCGTATAACTATATAAACAAAGGGTAATAGTTCACGATTATAACTAACCAATTATTACCTCAGAAGATAAACTGATGTGGATGACTTTGATTGTAATATACATTCAATATACAAAAGGTGCATGACAATTTAAAAAATACTTAGTCTTGTTCGTTGTATTAGTTATTTTGTTCCCGGGCAAGGCTTACGAATTATAATGCACCAACAGATTAATATTGACGACCATAATGTTCAAGTCCGTCAATTGATGAAACCCATCGTATACACCCGAATAAAATTATACGAGGAACTCGTAAGGACGGCGATATAATACAGCGGCCGTCCAGGAAAACGCCCGCGGGGTAGGTACCTATGTATATTCTGAACGAAATTTAACGTCATTTTTATGTTGCACGTCATCGTTGTATTATTATTATTATTATTATTATTATTATTATATATTGTGTGTATACGCACCGCTGTATTGTTGTACACGGTGGCCTGGACGGCGGTGCAAGAGGAAATAACCCGAAAAATTCGGATAATGGAAACGCGATGTAATAGCTAGTTGGTGTTTCCCGCGGCAAACACTGCACGGGTAGGATAATAAGAGTGTGTGTGTGTGTGTGTGTGTGTGTGTGTGTGTGTGTGCGAGAGAATTGTGCACGTTCGGGAAACTTGGTAAATTATTTATGCCAACCTTAGTTTTCAAATGGGTTTATTGAAATATACCGCCGTCGCCACGTCCACCGCAACAGTAGACCGAGTAGACCGACCGTATGATATTATAGGTGGGTAGGTATATGCAATATACGCAAGGCACGGCGGTCTTTTGATGGGTGTAAGTTTAGATCATATTATGCAATTATAACAGCGTAGTTATAATAATAATAATGATAATAATATGTACGGCGCAAAAATAATATATGTATGCAAAAAAACCGGAAATTTCCATTTTTATAATTCGATTTTTAATCCCATTTCATGATCGATTATGCAATGTTATTATACTAAAATATATGTATCCATCAAATGTGGAATACTTAATTAAACTTTACATATTTTTCAGTCTCGGTATAGTGATTATAAAGTCTATTGAACACTAATGCGTAAAAAATTAATTATTTTAGGTATTGATTGGTAAGACCAATGATAAAAAAAAACATTTTTTAAAGTAGCCATCTGATGCAAACCTAATAAGTTTTAAGCTATCCACGGTTATTTATTTATCTTACAGCTGAAAATATACGTATACTATAGTGCTGCCAATTAAAATGTACCTACAATGAAACACTACTTTTTTTTTAAACCCATTAATAAATGCCTACATCTACACTATGGAACGCGTAAAAATTTAATGCAACGGACAAATTAAGCCCATTATATAGGTAGATAATAATTCAATTAGGTTGTAATTAATCATAAATTAATAAGAGAACAGTTCTTATATTTGATACTATAATGTATACAAGCCCTTTGTATTCTTATTAAATATATCTAGGTAATGTTTTTCGTAAAAAAAATAAATTAAAATCAACTACAATATTAAGAATATGATAAATTTACTAAAAAAGTTGACTCAAACAGTGTTGTAATTTATTTTGAAATTAACAACATTTAGATATTATAGTATGGATGTAGTCATCAATATATAATACATCTGTACAGAATTATAAGTGTATGTGCCCATAGTCTATGAAGCATACTCAAAAGTTATAACAACATAATTCATCATTTTTTAATAGCTATTTTATTATCCATTCTAATGTATATCTCTATATTTTTTTATTTAAAGTGCACTTATTTATCATATTGTATATTTTTAAACATTCTATTTATTTTCATACCTACTTTAAAAATATTGTGAATAGATGCATAAATTTTCAATTCATGATACTACAATATATAAAACGACTTTATTCTTACTTAATATTTCCATTAAATTTACATGTATAAGATGGTTTCTCAGGGGAAAAAAATAAGTGTTGACCAACGTTTGTCGTCAGCAAATTTTGTAGGAAAATATTCATTTATATAATTATTATAGAGTGATAAATATATAGATACACAATTTAATATTGTATTTTATATTTTAATAGATAGTTAGGTAATATCTGAATTTCCAGACTTTACCCTTGAACTGTTTTATCAGGTATGGGATTGGTTAAGGCATGAAATGTAAAAATATAAAGTATAATAAATAAATTATAGATGAGTGCGTTATAGTTATAATTATTATTTATTTGTTCTAATATTCGATGTTAATTAAATGCAATGTAATTTGGTTGATTTAACATACCACTGGAATGCCTTTGAATATATGATGTTTCTATTAATTCAGTTTAGTTCGTAGGCATATACATATAAATCGTTTAGTTTTCATATTTTCTTTTACTTCATTAATATTATATCTTGTTTTTAATAGATATTAAAAAGCAGAATTTAATGATTGTATTATAGCTACCTAATAAATGTATTTATATTATTTTACGTTTTACATTTTAATTCTTATATATTATATTACCTATAGTCAAATTATTTATAATTAATAATTATAAGTGTTTAATACATAACATTTTGGACTATAAATAAATAAATTGAATAAATATTATTAATATCATAGATTACTATTAATGTAACTCATGGATTACATTTATTAAATATTATATTGTAGTTAAAATGCAATAAACACTTTGTGCTATTATGATATTTTCAACATTAAAATGACTCAATATGAACTAAAATATGTTTTAGAATAACTTTAAACAAAAACACTTATCTTTAGAGTTTAAATTTAAAAAAATGTAAGAATGGCGATTATTATTTCAGGAGGTTCTTGTGTAACGAAAAAAACCAACTACATTAACCGAGGTAGAATTATTTATTGGTGCATATTTGGTAAATTCTTTGTTAGAGAGCATAACATTTTGTACAATATTGTACATATAATATCATTTATAAATAATATACTTAATAATATTAATAAATGACGAGACAAATATTTCCAGTACCAGTATATTTAAGTGTTATAAGTCAAACTCAATCAAAACGCTTCTATAGAGAAATCAATACCTTTAGACTTCGATCATAAAATTCATAATTCACAAATAAACATAACAAAATTATTTATATTGAATGACCTACATGATTCACATGTAGTGACACAGTAATAGTTGCATCTCGATCATCTAGAAGTATGTACAATAATTATAATACAGAAATCAATAATCGTCCAAAGATAATAAAATACAAATATAGCACAATAAAGTGGTTATGACAAAATTAGCTATGCTTTATATACGTATCAAACATACGGAGAAATCCCTCTTGCACTCTCGGTCTTTTAAACTCTTACTCTCTCGCACTAACAGCTTCAGTATTTCACATTCAGACTGTCTCCGAATCAAACGAACTCTTCGGACGAACTAGCACTCTTACCACTTGGATTGCCGTATTATGTTTCACGGCAGCTCGATGTCTTGAAGCACTATCTTACGACCACGAGGTTACGACTGTATTCGACGACAACGAAATAAGATGTACTATGTACACGTAAAACGGATTCAACACATCACCAAATATTAAGAAATTAATATTTTAACATTATTGAGTAGTAGAATTGAAAACACCGTATGAACCACAAATAGCAATTAATAATACTAAATAAAATTGGATTTATCGTTCATAAATGTTATTGTTACTCGATTGTAACTTCAAATAAATGAGTAACTTTATCATTTATAGGTATTGTACATCTTTAGTTATATTTGCGTCATAATAATTATCAAAATTATGCGAAATATCAACATCAATAAAATTTCTTTAAAAAGAGTGACCATGCACCTTATCGTGAAGATATTGCATAAGGTACCAACGTTAAACCAGGAGTTTCGGGTTGTAATATATTCATCGTTTTTCTAATAATCTAAAACTATTTCATAATGTGTATTACTACAATTATACTTCGTCGAAATATTATCATCTGAACAACTTGAAAAACATTTCTTTAGCAAATCCGATAAATTCCACAAAAGAAACATGTGAGAAGAGTTATTTTAATGTACAATTCTATTGAGGCTATTAATTGTGGTTCCAACCATTATTATTGTTAGCTGTTAATAGCTGAATCTCTTTGTTGTCATTATATACCTACTGGCTAATTGTTTTTTATACATGGTGAGCTGATGTAGATAATTATAGTTACCCAGACGTTTCCCATGAAGTTGCAGTTTGAAATGTATGGTTATGACCACGCATATAA